CCCAAGGGGCGATGGGGGAGGATGTGCAGAATAGCCACGGGCACCCATTCCCCACAACCCCGCCAGCACTGCCGTCGCTCCTGTGCCTCCATTCCGGCCGCGAGCTGGCAAAATACAACCAATGGATTCAAAACCTTCCCCCATCGTGCGGGCCTCGGGCAGGTGCCTGGGGGGTCTGGGCAGGAGCATCTCTGCTTTATCAAAGCAGTGCGGGGCTGAACGGCTTCAGGCACTCCTTGCAGTGGGTGGGCCGTGTAAGGGTTGGGGGGGCAACGTTTGTGGCAAGTACTACATTTAATGTTGTAGTTGGTGATGTTACAGCTGACGCTGCACTGGGTAGGTTAGTGAATGGGTATGAACCCAAGATTCCCTTTTGGTTTTGACAGAAGTATCTTTTTTTAATATGTGACCGCTTGGTGTGGCCAGCCAAAGCCCATCATTGCTTCTCCTCTTTACCCTGCCTCTCCATTGTCTTCCCCACTGTGGTTTCTGTGCGCGTGTGTTGCACTCGAGGCTTGTGGCCAGCTAGCCAGATCCAAGAGAGGGTGTAGGCACCTCAGAGTGATAAGACTTAGTAGAATTTTAGCATTCATACCCAAAATTGTGATCCAGGAAACTACCAACAGCTTACACATGCACGCACACATGTGCGCACACACACTCTCTCTCCCCTGTATTTTCTCTGTGGCAAATGGCACTTCCTGTAAATAAAGGGGTAAAACCAACCTGAGAAATGTAACCTTATCCTAGGAGTCCTCCAGCTCATCCTTCCCATTCAAAAAAATGTGATTGTAAATGTACTGATACTTTGCACCTGAAATGTCCATGCTACTTAGGAGTAAAGGTAATTTGTCTGGTACCTCTTTCACTCTGGAGAGGTTGGAGATAAGTTTAGATTAACATGGCAGGTATGACTGCAAGACCCGTAATCCCACTTGAGAAAGGTCAATCTGAACAACCAGCTACATTCTTCCTGGGAGTAAGCCGTGTCCTGCTGGTGCAGCCAGAGAGCTGAGCTGCAGGAGGCAGCTTTGTTTGACTCGTCAGCAAAGATCTTACTGCAATACAATAATGAGGCTCACTACACCACATGCCCTTCCATCACAGTATTTGGTGTGTGAGAAAACCCAAGGGATGTAGTAGAGTGTTGCAGACCTGCAGGGCTCTGCCATGCAAATCTGCTCAGAGCGAGGGCCTTCTGCCTCTGCATCTCGGAATATCACCTCTGCAACCTGTTGCAAGCTTTGGCTTGGACCACTGTTCTCCATTGCACTCCGCAGATTCTCTAACAGATCAAACTGTACACCTTTTTTTTTTTTTAATTACTGTACACTTGGTTTCCCCCACACAACTGAAAATACAACTCAGCTCAGTATCTGGCTCAAGAATTATGGATGTTAATGTATTTTCGGCTAATAGGGATCATGAATATCTTTAAGTATTCATGGACTTTTGGGTTTTGAATAGGATTTGAGAAACAGTAAAAAGGAATGCAGGATTGCAGTATGCAGAGAAGATATTTTAGCTCATCAATTACCTCAAAAGGACAAGATATAATTTATTTTAAAGGAGTTTTCAGAATTTAAAATGATCCATCAAAAGGCAGTAGAAGTTTAAATTTGCATAAAAAAATCTATGAGAGAAATTGATGGCAGTTCAGCCTAAAGGCAAAATGGCCTCGCTAAAACCCTAAGTAGATAAAAGAGGAGAAAAAAATGCCATTTCAGAGATATATTCATATACTTAATGATGTTATCCTGCACAAAACCCCTACTATCTTATTGCACTGAGTAACTTGGAGCAATGAAACTAACGTTCAAAGCCTCATTAGAAAGCCTTTACCCTATGGCTAGTTTTGTCTTCTGTGCACTCTCCTACACCAGCTCACCATGCTATTATGTGTTTGGTTTGCATGCTGGAATCTGGACAGATTGAAGATTTCCAATTGATTTTTCAATATCATGGAGGTGTCTTTTCAAATACCTTGAGGGCTGCTACAGAATTGCTGATCTACATTACCACTGATAATGATTTGTTTTTAAGTAGACAACATTTGTAATCTGGATTGTGTGAAGTAAACAGAAAGATCTGCAGCAACTGTGATTCTCTTGAGACACTTAGATCAACCACCTACATACATGAAAATGATGGATGATTTATGTAGCTCAGCATACAATAACCATTGAACAACCAGGTGTTCATCTCTGCATTTTATGTGATGCTACATTATAGAAGCACCTTGTAACACCTCTGCTAATGAAGAACTGTAACTGTCCAATTCCATGTACCCATAAACACGTCAAAAATCAGTTTAGCCAAAGATTGTATATACCAGAAGAACAATTTATCTGATTCCTAATTTTTCTTGCTGAAAGCTTTCTTTTACTTTCCTTCAGTCTGGCAAATAATAAAGAAAAGGCTTAACCGCTCCTCAGCTGTACATTACATCCCTAAATCCATCTCCAGGGTAAAGTAATACTGTTTACGTGGCGACAGCACCATAATGCCTCTGAGCATCTCAAATCACTTTTCAAATATTAAAGTCCCCCAGTACCACTGTGAGGTATTTGTGAATACATGGCAGTGACCTTCATTTTACAGAGGAGGAATTTGAGGTGCAGAATAGTTAAACAACTTGGTCAAGATCACAAAATAAGATACTGGAGGGGCGAAGAACATGGAGTCATTGATTCTTCAGTCATGTACTTGAACAGCTACAAAATGCTCCTTCTGAGAATAGAGAAGGAAAGAAAAAAGGGGGGAAATGGGAATAAGAAACTAGAGATGTTGTAGATAAGAAGATACATTGGCAGAGCGGTGTATGAGATATAAGGGAAAATCACAGTAGCTTCCAGCTGAAATACATCCACAGAGGGTGAGATGTGCAGACTGCTGGGGTAAGCTTTCCAAAGAACAGTCAACCATTAAATGGAAATGTGGATTTGAGATCTATCAGTTGGGACATCTTCAGACAGTTTATACCTATGGCCAAGTAATACTGGCTGCTGTCCAATACCCGATCAGCTGAAGGAATCTTTACTAGCAAGCATGAATGATTGCGCTCAAGATGCAGATGGAGCAGAACTGAACGTGCTGGGAAGACAGCCCCATGCATCTTGGCTCTCCCATTGCCTTATGGTACAAGGTCACCAATCGAAGCTGATCCCATGGAAGTTACTTCTAAAGGAGAATCAGGGAGCTAGAGTTCTGCATTTCCTGCAAACTCATTTAAAAATACACATTTTTAAAACGAAAAACCCTTGCTCACAGGTGAGAGTTTCCAAAATATTTAGCACTGGCCAAAACCAGCTTCTTCTGGAACTAGCAACAAGAATCTTTTCAATTCAGTGGGAACACAACTTGTCCAAAGCTGTGCCCTTCAGACAATGCCACACAAACTATTTTTGGTCAAATTTTATCCTTAACTTCTAACAAGTCACCTCTTTCACTGTTGTCTTTCAGGAAATGAAGAAGCCAAAATTCAAACACTAAGAATGATCTAATTTCTTCATTTAAATACATAAATATTTCAATGGCAAGATGAATCCACTGCCAATCTGTTCTTGTATGTCCTTTTTTTTTTTTAAAAAAAAAGCTGGCTTGAATATTCTTTTGGTACAAAACCAGTTTTTCTATCACACACAAGTGATCTGTGTGTGCATGAAGTTAGAAATCACTGGTTGTCACAAAATCAGGCTGTGCAGAATTTCTTTGGGAAAACATGTCATGCAAAGGTGAATATTGGGTCTGAGATTAAAAAATGCAAATGAAACAAAATAAGAATTCCCAAACATAACAGATTCTAAATTTAGGTAGCCAAAATACAACCTGTTTGAAAGCCAGCCAGATGGTTTGGATTAAGTAGGCATATTTTAAGACACGCAATCCTGATGGATCATGCCCTCCAAGCCAGATCTGTTTCTGAACCCTTCGTAACAGCTGGATGTATTTTTTGAAAAATTGTGACTCAGGCCACAGACCAAGTGGGCACGTTCGGGTGCCCATGTTAGAAGCTGCTAGCATTAGAAATGTCCGTGCTTCCGGCCAGGTATTTATTGAAACACTTTATTACCCTTTTCTTGGAATGTGGAAGTTGAAAACAGGCAGCCTTGTGGCAGGGAGATAAATGAAGACAACAACTGCAAAACTGTGTTGTTTTTATTTTAAACATGCAAAATACAGTTCATGCATCTGCCATTTTGAAAAATCTCTCAATTCATAGCAGATTAAACCAAAGACATTTTGGCTATAGACTCTCAATAAATATTTCAAAATGCTTTACAGTGTAAAGATAAGAAATTTAGCAAAATTTCAACAAACCTGTATAAAAACCAGATACAGATAACTTTTTATTTCAAGGCGACATGCTGTAATGTAAAGAGTTCACTTTTTTTTTTGATGTTTTTTTTCTCATAAAAAGTTTCCAACGATACAACCGCTTAACAGATTTAAGCCTTTAGGCTACACATGCAAAAAAAATGGTTATTTTAGTTAAAAATCACCAAAACGTGCTATTTTTTTGTTTCATTTTTAAGTACAGTAGTTGTAGACAGTAGCATTTTTCTTTTTTAATTTTGTAAAAGAGTGCAGGCAGGTTCATGGAGCTAGTGTCCTGGAAGACTCATACTCTGACATACATTTTGGTTTTATCCCTTTGCCATTGTAATAGTCCACAACTTGGTTTGGAACTTCAGCCAAAACGCTTTTTGCTAGAGCAGCTGGGGATGCCTGTAGGAAATGGTAGAAAACACAAGTGTTAACCTCTCTCCGTGCTAGAAGTGCCGTGGTTTTCAGAGGCATTGGTGCCATGAGATCAAGGTGGGAAGCATGGTACAGAAATGGAAGGCAAAACAGACTCAAAGTGGGTGACATTATTGCTGGAAGCTCATTTTGTGAGTCAGTCTGGGCTTGTAGCTGTAGCTGCCTGAAAGTACGCTAAAGCCGAAAGTGCTCTGCATGTTTTTCAGGTCCATTTGGCCTATTTTAAGTTCAGGGTAACTGAACTTCCCCACACTCTGGGAGAGCACCACATCATGACTGAAAAGGGCCGCAAAGACTTCATTCATTGTACTCAGTGAGGAACCCCGCAGAGCTTCACGTTGAACATGAATGGACAGCACTGTAACAGGGAGGCCTTCATCACGTTTTGGCTCTTCAGTATCTGGCATGGGGTTTGAATGCCTGGGGAAGTTTTTAATACAATAAAAATATTTTCGTTTATTGGAATTTAACCATGGCCATGAGAGAGCTTCAGTCCTAGGCTTTGTGGAGGATTTAAAGCTCTTCCTGCAACGTGTAAATGGTGGGTGTCAACCAGACTTAAGAACTGATGACCCTGAAATGTAGAGATGGATATAGAGATGGCCGCTGGCTTTTGCCACAGGCAGGGAGGTGGGCTACCCCTCAGTGCAATGAGAAACCATGCCCTCCACTGACATCACACAGTTGCTGCCTCACATCCTGACAATGCTTCATTTTAAACAGTAGGGCCTGTGGGCGTTTTGTGGGCAACCATTGCCTGTGTGTGATGCAGGGATTTTCCTCTGCCCCTGTGTTCAGCAGTGACAGAACTGGGATCCTGCTCTCCCATGCAGCTCAATAGCACCCTCTTGCCCTGTGTTTTGTATTTGCTTGTTTCTAAGTATTTGGGTAAAGCTGATTCCACCCTCCCGGGAGCCAGCCTGCCTGACCACATTCCCTCTGAACTCACCACCAAAATGCAGCAAAAATGCAGACTAAACATCAGTTTGAGAAGTTTAAACTAATGCGTTTATCTCCAGATACAGCACACATGGATCACACGTTGCAGCTCAGATGATGCACGGGAACTTCTCAACCAGTGGCTGGGTCACATTTCTTTTGCACACCAAGTACTTTTTCCCACACTAAAGAACAATTCCTTCCTCACTGTCTGTAATATTGACAGCCAGTTTCAAAACTACTATGTCACGAAGTGGTTGTATTGACTGTTTATCACGCTACTCTATTTAATGAGGTGGGATCCTTATCCTTCCAGAGTCTTAAAATTAGCCTTACAAGTATGTAAATGGTAAAGTGTCCATAGGCAAGCTAATCTAGGGGTGCAGAAAGCCCCTGGGCTATTATTAATTCCAGTATTAAGTGCTGCAATACTACAGACATAATGCTAGCAAAACTGGAAACAAAACTATTTTTTGTATGTTGGTATTTTGAGTCACATATGTGATCAGTAACAAATAAAATGAACCGCTATTTCCCTACCCTGACGTTGATACCAAAATATTTGTGCAGACAAAAAAGCCTGGAACATTTCTGCATGAACAAACTGGCCACAGCAGAGCCCATACTTTGCGTGACAGCGGAGCAACTGGTCTCAGGTGTTGCACAGTAACAGAACCCATTTATTTTAATCCTTCAAAGTGAAATACATGGTTTTCCACAGTTGCCCCATTATTGCCTAATACTGTTTTCTCTGAAATCAGCACAAAATACCCCTTGGAGTCAGGCAGATGGCTGATTTCTATGTTGCTACTGAGAATTACTGTTTTTTAAATCTCCTTCCCAGTGTGGCAAAGCTGTATATACCTTAGCCTGCCTCTGTGCCACCTTACCAAAAATACAACCCTACATAAAGGGTAAAAACTTAAACATAAAGGGGGAAGACTCCTGGGCCATCGCCGCACACACAAGCCCTAGCAATCAGGAAATTTCACTCTGCTCTATTTTAATGCTGGGCAGGAGCACTTGCCACCAGCTTCTCTGGATCACGTGTAGTCCACGTGTCTGAAAATTGGGCCAATACTCATCTCTCTGCATCATCCTCTCATTGCCGCTTCTCTTCTGATGCCACATCCATTCTTCCCAAATGAAGGGTCAGCCCTTCAGAAGAGGCTCCGTCAGGGCTCAGATGCACGGCTGAATCACCACCACTTGAGGAGTCAACTGAGCTATGCGCTCCTTGCCCAGTGTGCATGTGAAGCCCTTCACTGAGGTTTGAGCAAACTCTTTTACTGTACCCACAAGCTCACAGGCCACGTGTGGCCCCAACGCAGTGTTGCCCTGGGCTAGGTGGCTTAACTCCATGCTTCAGTCTGCACATGGACAACTCTTGTGTAACAGAGTTTCATCGTGTTGCCCTGGGCTAGGTGGCTTAACTCCGTGCTTCAGTCTGTACATGGACAACTCTTGTGTAACAGAGTTTCATCATGGCGGTGATGTCTGTCGGTCCTGGGGCTCTTTCTAGCAGGGAGCATCCCAAAACCAGGGTTAGGGGTGATTTCCTGTCTGATGATTTGGGCCGCCTCTACCTTACATACTTTTGTGGTGGTAAAGCACTCTCACTTCGAGACCAGATGGTGCAAAGCAGTGTTTGTATAAGTAAGAATCAGACTCAGTAACTTCTGAGCTAAAAACCACCCCCAGTTCAGCAGTGCTGTGTAAGGGTTACCTTCACTGGGTTTTTAACACTGATGGTAGGTACATTAATGTTGTACTGTAATGTTTTCTCCACTGTTTAGCTGCTATGCTTGAAGAGCATCCTAGCAATAAACACCTCAAGATTAATAGTTCTTGACTGATGGCTAATACACAACAATCAGGTTAGCCAGCACCAGGAGAATAATCCCCTATGATGATAATTGGTGTATATTACAAATGACTGTTGATTCAGTTCTATAGCTTCACCATGCTTAATCTTTAATTACAATGCATGGTGCAAAACATTGCTCCTTGCAGTGGTTAAGAGCTGTGCTTGCCACACTTATTTGTGATACATGTGTTATTAAGTCACAGTTGTTAGCCTGTATGATTAAATACAATGCAGAGTGGAATACAATCTACCTGTGGCATCAGATTTGTGCACAGTAAATATGTCATGAATCCTAAAGGCAGAGAATTTCAGCTCTTAAAATATGACTGTGAATCGACTGAAACAGGTGATTTTCTTCAACTACATTTCAGTGATTGTGAACATCGCTGTTCTGCAGTTTCAGGTGAAGGACACTCACATCGTTGGGGTGGTGATAATTATAGAGAGAAGAAACTCACTTGGGCTCAGGGAAAATATTTTCCCTTTGTTTGTTATGTTCCCCTGTAGTGAACTGCACGTCACCCAACTATACAATGGGACATTTTTTAAACAGTAATGGTTACCTTGATTTTATCAAGCCTCTGCAACTACAGCACTTGCCAAGAATCACTACAATTATTATTATTATTTTGATAGATTCAAAGATAGTACTTAAAGAGAGAGTAAAAAAGGTACAATGCTTTACTGAAGTACCTCTGATACACTATATCATGTAGGAGATTAAACCCCTATAATAAAGATGTCTGTCTACATTGGGTCTTTAGTCAGTAAAACATGGAAGTGCGTATGAGGTTTTAGGTACGTGAATAATTGTAACAAACTGAAATGTATTAAATGCCTGTATGAGTGCTGTGCAGGATCAGAACCTTCTCTGAAGTCAAACTTATAAAATAAAAGGGGTTCACTCGGTAGATTATTTTTACAACTTCTTTCTTCCTCCTTTCAATTTTCTCACAGGGACAGCTTTTGGATATATTATTTTTGATCTCCTTGGATAGATATGAGATTTTGAGTTCCACACTGACCTAAGAATTGAAGTAATAAAAAAAAAATTTTCTTTGGGTTGACTCCAAATGAGTTTTAGTTTACTGTTCCAGCAAAACAAAAAATAATTGCTCACAAATAACATTTTATTACCTTCTTCTGTCAGTAGTAGAGGTAATACGGATTTAGACATAAATACATACTTGATTTATCAGACAAATCTTTAAACCTTATATAACTTGATTTGTAGTCTTTCTATAAAGATCCTTCAACTTTTTTTTACTTAATAATTGAACATCCTAAATACCAAACTAAGCAGAAAGAAACTACATTGATAAAAGGGATGTGATAGTTAACTAAATACATCTTTTACTTAGAGCTGCTAAATGTAATATGCTGATTTATGGTAATTATTGTGTGTCATCAGAACTGATCTGACAAAAATCTCCCAAATGGGTTAAATCCACATTTTTCTGTGGGGAAAAAAAAGTTTGAATCAAAACATCACATTCATTTCTACCACGAACCATTACTTCACTAGTTGATGCAAAATAAATGGTCTTTTGTTTGTGATGAGGATAAGTAAGCAAGATAGCTCTGAAAGTCACTTTGTTCAGAGAAAGAGATTATTTGGGATATGACAATAAAGAAATTCAGCCAAAAGTGGCTATTGTTATGGGCACTCATCCATTACACTGACATTTGTTGAAAGGCTGAAAGATCACAATAAACAGACTAAATATCAAGTTGCATAAGATATATTGACTTTTCTGATATAGCAAATATGTGATCTATCTCTATATCTATATTATCTGTGCTACTGAGAGAAAACGGGAGAAAAATATCACCATTTAACAAGAGCAATAAATTTTTTAAGATTGCTATCCTCTCCTAGTACTGGGGAAGTTAATCTAAAACAGCTAAAAATAATACATGCTTGTCATTTGACCAATGCTAGCAATTAAAATCACACACAGAATCACTCACAAGTCAACACCAGAGGCACAATGTATTCAGTGCCCAGAACTGCAACTGTCAGCATTAAGCTATTCAATCAAGGATGATTTCAACTTTGTTATAAAATCACAAAATGAAACTGAAAATAACAAACGCAGCTGGCTTTGCCAGTTTCTTGAGGAAACATGTTTTCAACTAATTGAAAGTAGCTCTAGCACTAGCCCATAAATAACTTGCCTCTTGACACTTTTACAACAGACTACAGTGCAGCACTATGCGCTTGTGATAATCTGACGAAGGAGAATCACAGCCTACGAGCACGTCACGCTCATACTTTGTTCCAGCAGACAGGTGACTGAGTGGCACTGTCAACGTAGAAATGTGTGTATCTACAATTCAGTGGCAAATCTGCAGCCATTTGGCACGGCATCACCAAACCAATAGCACAAGTACCTCCTATGAGGATCCATTTACATAAAGGTAGAGTGAAAAGAGGAACAAGTCTGTTTCTCTTACTTCTTAGGAAGGTTTGCAAAAGTAAGAAGTGTGTCTAGACAAATATGGCAGAATTATATTTTGGAGAAAAAAAGAACAACAATTGAGAAGAGGAAAATAAAATGAAGGCATTCTGGAAGTAGCAAAAAGTCTCCTGTGGTCACAAGAAGCCTAGAAAAACTAAAGAAATGTAAGTACTGCAGACCCATATGCAGACCAAAATCAACCCAGAATTGAAAACTATTGTGTGACAAATCCAGCTCTGGCGTATCAGAGCAGATTGGAAAGGGCAATCTCATGAGGAGAATGAATCAGCTACACTGTGCAGTAAAGAAATTTTCAAATCAAATATTGAAGATATCCTTCCTAGACACTGTGGTGAGCAAAAGAAAAAGTCTACTTAAATATAACAGAAGGAAGGGAGAGAAGGATGGAAAAACAGAGGGATGCGATCAGTATCGCAGAGGAACACAATGGCCATTTTACACCTCCGTATGGAGGAACACATACAGCATACAGTAGAGCATACAATACAGCAGAGAGGAAACAGTCTAGAAGGTTCCTGGAGTGTGTGGAAGATAACTTCCTGATACAGCTGGTGAGTGAGGGAAGGCATCCTGCTGGACCAGTTGTTCATGAACAGAGAAGGACTTGGGGGTGATGTGGTGGTTGGAGGCTGTCTTGGGCAAGGCAGTCATGAAATGATAAGAGTTTCTCATTCTTGGGAAAGTAACGAGAGGAGCTAGCAGAACTGCTACCTTGGACTTCCAGAGGGCAGACTTTGGCCTGTTTAGGAGCCCAGTTGACAGACTCCCTTGGGAGTTAGTCCTGAAGGGAAAGGAGTGCAGTCAACATTCTTCAAGAAGAAAATCTTAAAGGTGCAGGAGCAGGCCATCCCCATCTGCCGAAAGACGAGTCGGTGGGGAAGACTGGCCTGACTGAACAAAGAGCTTTGGCTGGAACTCAGCAAAAAAAAGGAGAGTTTATGACCTTTGGAAGAAGGGGCAGGCAACTCAGGGATACTATAAAGATGTCATTGGGCTATGCAGGGAGATCATTAGAAGGACCAAAGCCCAACTAGAACTTAGCCTGGCTACTGCTGTAAAAGACAAGAATTGTTGTGAATGGAGTTAACTCCAGTTCGTGGCCGGTCACAAGTGGTGTTCCCCAGGGCTCAATACTGGGGACAGTTCTGTTTAATATCTTTATCAATGATGTGGATGAGGGCATCGAGTGCACCCTCAGTAAGTTTGCAGATGACACCCAGTTGGGCAGGAGCGTTGATCTCCTTGAGGGTAGGAAGGCTCTAGAGAGAGATTTGGACAGCTGGATTGATGGGCCGGGCCAACTGTATGAGGTTCAACAAGGCTCAGTGCTGGGTCCTGCACTTGGGTCACAACAACCCCATGCAACGCTACAGGCTTGGGGAAGAATGACTGGAAAGCTGCCCAGCAGAAAAGGACCTGGAGGTGCTGGCTGACAGGGCTGAATATGAGCCAGCAGTGTGCCCAGGTGGCCAAGAAGGCCAACAGCATCCTGGCTTGCATCAGAAATAATGTGGCCAGCAGGAGTAGAGAAGTGATTGTCCCCCTGTACTCAGCACTGGTGAGACTGCACCTTGAGTACTGTGTTCAGTTTTGGGCCCCTCGCTACAAGAAAGACATTGAGGTGCTGGAACGTGTCCAAAAAAAGGCAATGAAGCTGGTGAAGGGTCTGGAGCACAAGTCCTACGAGGAGCAGCTAAGGCTCAGAACTGGGGTTGTTTAGCCTGGAGAAAAGGAGGCTGAGGGGAGACCTTCTCACTCTCTACAACTACCTGAAAGGAGGTGGTAGGCACGGGGGTGTCAGTCTCTTCTCCCAAGTAACAAGCAACAGGACAAGAGGAAATGGCCTCCAGTTGTGCCAATGGAGGTTTAGATTGGATGTTAGGAAAACCTTCTTCACCGAAAGGGTTGTCAAGCCTTGGAAGACGCTGCCCAGGGGAGCGGTTGAGTCACCATCCCTGGAGGGATTGAAAATGTAGATGTGCTGCTCAGGGACATGGTTTAGTAGTGGACTTGGCAGTGTTACGTGAACGGTTGGACTCGATGATCTTAAAGGTCTTTTCCATCCTAAATGATTATATGATTCTGCTCTATGAAAAGGGCCCTGAAAAACCTGGCTGTGCATCGAAAAGCTCCTTCTGTGGGTTAACAGTGTCTCTACCCAGCTGGTGAAAAAGTCCCTGGGACAGATGCTGCAATGTAGGGCAGGTGACTGAGGAGAAAAGTACATGGCCAAAGGATTATTTCAAATTTGGCAATTTAATGCCGCATGTCTCCCTTCCTCTCCTGCAGAGTGTCTCCTACACCAGACAGGAAGAGCTCGCTGAGGGTACAGCAAAGTTCTTAGTAACGGCACTTCCTTGGATTTGTTCTTGTACAGAATTTGGCTAAAGGGTTTGGAGGCAACCAGGATGCTGTGGGTGGATAGTCCAGCCTTTGAGAACTTAGGCACCTAAAATTCAAAAAGGAAACAGCCTCCCGGGGAACACTGTGAGCACAAATCCACAGCTATTTCAGCTGCCTGTGAAAATGAAGGGATGGAAAGCAGAATACAGACACACCAGGAAAAATAAGTCAGGGAGGGTAACCAAACTACAATCAAGGAGGAAATGGAAGTAAGGACTGGCACCACAAGAAGCACATGGATTCTGCCCCATCTCTTCTTTCCCCACCCATACCATCTCACTAATGGAGCACATTTCATTCTGTATTCATTTTTTCTCCATTTTTGATGCAACAATGCCATAGGTTTACTAAACACTTCATGCTCATCCAAAGTCAGGCCCAGCCTAGGGACCATTCACTATACGTTATATATACATTCACCCTTCTGCGTAATGGATGGAAAAGTCGGCTTACATGTTTGAAGTTCCTAAATGGCACAAACTGGACAATGTCTCGAAGCACAGGCTCGCCCTTGGGAGACCTCAGGATCCCATCATCGCCATCCAGCATCTGCATGTCACTAAAATCGGCGTTCCCCACCCCGACGATGATGACTGACATCGGAAGGTGAGAGGCATGGACAATGGCCTCTCTGGTGTCAGCCATGTCTGTGATGACGCCATCCGTCAGAATCAGCAAGATGAAATATTGCTGAAGTTGTTGGACGAGAAGTGAAAAATTATATCATTAGTTAATCTTCCAAAGCTGCTTGCCCTTTTCCAGTATAAAAGTGTTTCTAGTAACTCACACATGGATTTTTAAATAGAAAAGAGCCTTTCTAGTGACTCAAAGGTTCAGTGTGTTTCCCATCCAAATGTCCTCAACTACCGATTTCTCCTCTTCTGGACTGTAGCTGTAGTTGAGTTCATTTCCAGGAGCTGGAGGGAGCCAAGGGATGCGCAGTGTAGAAAAGGGGGTTTCTAACTGCTAGGGCTGGGAAAGTCATGACTTTGGCTGGGAAGTCTGGAATAGTCCTGAGATCCTCACTACAACTATTTTTCATCTGCTGCACAATCCCTTCTGCTGACAGTTTCTGATTACACTTTTTTTTCCCCTTTAGGAACCAGCAGGAGGCGGGGAGGAATGGGGTATTGAAGCGTTACAAACTTGTAGCAGAGCTGTCAGGGAGGTTATGACAGCACTTTGCAGAGGAGCTTTGCTAACAGGCAGGCAGGATGGGTGCAGCCATCTGCAAACTGGAGGGTGACCCACTGCTGCCTGTGGGAGAAGCACCACACCGTAGCAGGTCTACTGCATTCTGCAGAGTAATGGGGTCCCTGAGGAGAGGAAGGGCATGTGCAGGGAGGAATATATCCAACTTCAAACACTTCATATGGAGCTCTGAAGACAGGTTTTCTCATTCTTTAAAGGAGAGCAAGCCATTTTGTGCGCTTGTCATTTCTTTCCCAAAACTCTAAAGCCCACGGAACTGGGATCGTGGGCTATGACATATCTTCACTTGGTAATGGCAAGAGTGACTCTAACTTGGATCCTTTATGAATTGTTAGGCAGCAGGAGTTGTTTAACAAACGTGCATTAACAGGAAAAATGAACAGGTCATAGAATTTGGTCAATCTGCATGAGCAGTACCAACACACTAAACATCATTAAAGTTTACGTATATGCAGTTATATAAACTGCAAGTGTTCTGTTCATCATCTCCTGCCCTAAATAAAACAAAACATACAAGGAGAAAACTTCATCTTGAAGACTCCTGCTATAAATTAATTTGTTTTTCAAACAGAAAGAGGGGAAGTTTAGGTTCAGAAGAATGAAGCAACTTATTCAATATTCAGAGGCAGCACTGGGAACAGAGTGAGCCAGCTCAGGATTAGATGGGTATGGAAATTCAAACATAGCAATTCCCTGTTTTAGGATTGGGACCCTAAATACTATCAAAACCCTGGAAACAGCAGTGGAGTGACAATCACAAGCCCAGACTCGTAAACAGAAATGTTTGGAAACTGCTGCATTAATAGGACTTTAGAAAAGGCTTAGCACATGAAGAAAGCTTAGAGAAAGCTCGAGGCCTAGTGATGAGATGCATGCCAACGTACAGCTCTGTTCTGTTCCTATACATAGGCATTTTTCTTGCAGCACTATACAAGTTCTCTCTGACATCCTTTACTCCCACAGCACTGGTCTTTTAAAGGTTTCAGATCTCACATATTCTCTCCAATTCTTTCATTCTCCCTTTCTCCCATTCTGTCTGGAAGGCAGGAGAAATATAAACCTAATGCATTTCAAAGACGTACATTTAAAACATGATCTATGCTTAAGTCTGTTAGCCCAAGAAATCTGTCATGGGTTTTGTATCAGATGCAGGCTAACAGACTTGTCTCCTGATTTCTAAAAGGCACATGATACTCCAGGTCAGTAAGAGCAAATTGAAAACTGTATCACTATAGTTTTCAAAGGAATGGTTGGAAAAATCCCCTAGTTGAAAAAAAAAAAAAGTTTTAGTACAGCCTCTGATAGAGATTTGAAAAAAAAAAGGGAAACATTTGAACTCATCTTCTTGTACGATCAACATTTTAGGGCTTGGCCCCTAAATTTTTGTAACTTTAGTGGTGTCATTTGTGTTTCCACAGTGAAGAACTGGGTGTGGTACAGTAAAACAGCTCTAAAAGCAGGAAACGGAACAGTGGGGGAGGAGTTTAAAGTTGTGACTATCGAAGCTATGAAGGCCAGATACACTGCTCCAGCTGGCACAGACTCAAACTTCTGCCTGTGAAGGCAGTTACTGAAAACTGAAGGTATGATTCACTACATGAAAAGGCCTTGTTTTGATGGCCTGTGAGAGCGCCATCATAAGACAAGAAAAAAGCCAAACGCAGCATTATACCCTTACCGAGGCCTCCTTGGTATTGGTTTCCTCTGATGCTGATTTTGCCACCTTCTGGATGATGGGAGCAATGTTTGTCGGCCCATACAGCTGCAGCTTGGGAAGGCAGCTCTGATAAGCCTCCACAACACCTTGTATTCCTGGCATGAAAAGCCACACAAAATGCAAATAAATGTGGAGCACATCACCAATATCACGCTTGTTTAAAATATAAATAAAAGGTAGGTTCTCAATGAATAAATTCAAAATATCACACAATTAGCAAGGACTAACAACTTCAGATAATTTCCAAGAAGCTGTCTCTAGTTGCCTTGAATCTAGTTTGTAATATATAATTCATTATACTATGCTTCTCCTTCCCAGCAGTTTTTAATGTCTATTTTCCAGGAATCATCTTGCAATGCAATAGCTTCCATCCTTCTCAGTTCAAGGTATAAGTGATCACTTCCTGATCACCAGTGAAGATTCATGCTAAAAGGGCAGACACAAATTAAAAACACTTCAACACTTCTCTCCCCTCCTGTTCAGATAAATATTTATTTCTGTTTATCATGGTAGTTACCAACAAATTTGCCCTTTGTACTTACAACCTAGAGCTCTCACGGAATTCAAACATCTTTTCAAATACCTGACTGCCCTGTGCTAAGAGAATAATTTTTCAGGGTGAATTTGCATAATTGCTCACAGGTTGAATTCGACTATGCCCAAAAGCTGTGAAATCTTGGAAGAAACAGCAGGATGCTTTGCAGTCTACAGAAAAATGAGCTTTAGTCAAGAAGTTTTGATGGAGAACTAGCTATTTTTGGCTTTTTCATTTCAGGATATATAGCCAGAGCAGGGAGAGCAGACTTCTGCTGACACACTTGACAGATCACAGAATGGAAATTGGTGTTTTCAATCATTGAGAAGAAGGATTTCTTGAAGTGATGCACATTAGCCTCTGCATTCAGAACTCCCAGTTTACCAGACCTAAAGGATTAGAGGTCTAAAGTTGGAAGGAAAGTGATAGTCTGAAGAGCTTTGTAAAGGATGCTGAAGAATGAAACTACTTCAATAAGATCCTAAGCCAGTTTCAGTTTGCACTGAGACTACCTCACTCAGGAGGTTTTACTCAACCATGTTTATAGGATATATGGGTGCAGACCTGTTACTAACAAATTGCAGGGAGTTGTAATTGCTTTACAACGGTACACCTGAACCTCCTATGAAAAAATGGTGGAGAACGCAATCTTCTCTCTTTGTAGATAGTTACAAACATATTTTTCCATTGCAGTACTCACAGACAAAAGAACACGCTCCAATTATAGCTATGATTGGCTAAAATGTTAGAGTAATGTTACAAAATTTCCCTTGGTAATTCCAGTGACTAAATTACATATTGCAAAACTAACCTTTTGTTAACTCCCAATTTAAAACCTGCTAAAGATTTCATTACATATACTTACTGATCTTGCATGAAGGCCTCATAAATCTTCCCTAAGATGATGACAAGATACACTGTAGTTTTTTTCTTGTGCATTAAAATAGTATGAGATAAACCTTACTCCCTGCATTCCACACAGATGTAGCATGGTTCGTGTCAGAAGGTTGCTTTCATCTTTGAAAGAAACATGTTCTAGAAACATAATTTCTTGTTTGCTATCTCAGATTAATCTCTCTTAGAAATATCTACTGTCCTTATATATTCAAATCCAACAGGATATGTCAGCAGCTTACTTTGTAGCTTACTTTTCTTGGACTCCTTTATTTTAGGGAGAGTCAATGTGCGTTTTTCTTCACAATTCAACTCTTAACATTTTTAATTGGAATCCACTTTCAATAACTCTGATGAAATACAGTGTATGCATACAAATATGGGCTTAAGATGCAGGTAAAAGGCATGCATGTGTAGAAGCATTCATTCAGGTTAGAGGTTGTCGCTTTCCTCCTCAGACAATAAAGGCTAAATACTGAGTGTAAGACTATAAATATAATATACTAATAATAAATATACTAATTATAAGGCTATAAATACTAACATTTTCAAGAATGGAAATGGTAATAGAGGAGGAAAGGTGAGGATATCCATATTCTATGAATTCCAGGGATCTTCATGTCAATACACAGTCCTTATTCAATGTAGCATGATGCTTCACACTACCTTGTGCCAGCAAAAGCTCACTAGTTCCACACAGAAAGGGATTTCATTCCTCAAAAGCAAATTAGACACATACATTTTATATTGGATCCAACCTCTGTTTCTTGGTTTAAAGCAAGATACTCTTCAGCAATTTTCCTTTGTTTTTTGGCAAGTATGCTAAATATTCCAAGGAAAAACAGTGTGGTCACCAAGCATTTTATCTCCCTCTCACTCTTGCATCCTCTCTCCACACGATATGCTGGTGTTACTGCTCTTTGTGTCACCTAATACAGTGAGAGGATCTAGAAAACTTCATAGAACAACTGGCAGTAGGAACTAATCAAGCATCCATCACAGACAGGTGATGAGCAAGCTGCAGCAGATGATTAAACAACACATTTTCTGATCTGTCTCCTTTTTCTGCTTTCATCTAGATTGATATTATTTTAAATGGTATCATTTAGGACAAAGAAGTGCTTTTTATATCTCATAGGTGCCTGTGTGAGCGCTGCAGAATTTCTTCCCTGGCCACCTTTTGTGCTGCAACCACCTTTTTATGCCTTATGTTAACTTATCAGATAACTGAGTCTTATGCAAAGAACCAAATAAAGTTTAAATACATAACAAATATTAAGTGACATAAGCCAATGCAAAGCTTATAGAGCAGCTTCTTCTTTTTTTTTTAACCTCCTCTCATTTCCATTGCTACATTTTGTTTTGCATACATAGTATGGTATGGATAGTAATTTCTTTACTTGCAGAGGGTTTGTCTGTCCAACCTCTGACTTGCTGCTGGCACTACATAGATGAGACAGCCTTTTCAAGTACCAGTCAATCAATACAAATCATTATGTAACAATGTCAGTGTGACAAAAGAATTAGCCTTGGACTCAAAAGAGACAGCAAAGGGGGAATAAACAATGTGTTCTTTGCATAGACTGCTAGGGCTTGTTTTTTTCTGAGGTACACAGAAAGTGAGAAAAGTCCTGCATTTAGACTGGAAAACAAAGCTATATTTGAGCACTACATGCATAATACGTTATCACCTTGTACTGACCATTGTTAACTGAGATGTTTTAGACAGATCAAACGCCAACGTGTCTGTGTTCGGAAGCCAGCAGCTAACTACATTTTAAAATACGATGGTCCAAGCAAAATCTGAGGTCTGTTTTGCTTCCTCACCTCAACCCCACACTCTCAGTGTGACTAAAATCTCAACTTCAAGCTGGCTTATAAGCTTACAGGCACATCTAGATGCATACATGTAATTTCAGCTTCTTTTAGCTCCATAAAAGCAATGTAAAAAGCTGTGTGACCACATCAAGCAGGTGTAGGACTTATGCGCAATTACATTTCAAGCATATGACCTGTAGAGGCTGGGGCAGTCCAACAATCCAAGTGCAACAACAAAGCAGGAAT